GACATCTCTTAGTGCGTTATCGAGATCTTCTCCACGCCAAGTTGTTTTCCAGTACTTCCTCGGCTCTGAACAATAACARCCTTTAGCAAACCWATACTTGCATCCTTGCCAGCCCCATCCACTGCCTTTGTAGRCAGACACCTCTGTCTTGGTGGTTCCAGAGGCGAGYTTTTTGTCGTTGTACYGTACRCAAGATTCACCGGAGCATGAGCACCAAAACGCATCCTCATAATGGCAGTCATCGTCAACCTTGCATCCTTCTGGCGCAGCTTTGCATACATACGTTGGGGAATCTGGGTCGCTGTCTTCAGCAAGGTCGAATTTCTGCAGTTCTTTACCGTTGTTGGTTTGTTTGTGGGAACAACCAAAATGGAGGAAGCCTTTGTAGAACTGCTCCAGATTAACTGCTTTGGGGTAGTGTTCCTTTTCTTCTATATACCTTGTGATTGAAAAACATGAAATACACGATTACTGTGCATCCATATGTTTTGATAGTATTAATCCATAGAATAACATCTTTGGCCCAGTTGGCACTGAGTGAACGTAACAAGAGGCACACAGAAGAAAGAAAAAGAAAAACGGGCAGAAAACAGTCTTACGACTGAACTACCTGTTATATAAAAGATATAAAAAACTACTATAACAATTCTATGATTAATAAGACAGTGTAAATATATAAAAACACTAACATGATAAATTGGAACTGGAAAATTTTACAAAATATAAGATATAATAATTAATATAGCACTGAATTACTTCGAATACTCTTAAGATTACCTGGTTTTCAGAAGAGTCCACATCGGATGAAAGTGATATTGAATGGGTGATGGGTCGGTTGCGGCTTCCTTCATAAACTTGTTGATTTGCTCTGCTGTAAGCTYACCCGACAAATCTGATCGTGTCTCAGATTTACCGCCTCGGACGACTAACTTCTTTGTCATTGATTGTGAGGAGGATTTCTCGATGTCCTTCTTGGTCACTCCTGAACAAGCGGAAAYCTCTGCTTTTCCTGCTTGTGTTGGACCAGCTAATGACAGGCAAGCCTTRACAGTGAAATCTTTCTGGGTGAACTTCTTGTCAGACTTGGCAAAGACATATTGATAGATACTGGAGCCTGAGATTGACTCTTTGACAAAGTGGGATCCATACTTTTCCAGAAATGCGCTGTATTTTCTCCAGGAMGTAAGCTTCCATGGCTGCTCCACCTTCTTTGGGAGAGCTTTGAAGTCTTTTACGAGATCTTTAACCAAGGGTTTATTAATAATGCAGTCCTTCWTGAGGGCAGATGACAAGCCATAAGCTTTGAGATTCAGTGACRTGCCTTGAATGTTGGTTTCTCCTGAAGCAACGTTGTTTGTGACGGCTTCTACGGATGCACCAAGAGTGTATGCACCTTTTAGGCTCCCACTGACCTTAGTGTTGGTRGAAACTGATTGGTAAATGGACTCTGTACTRCTATAGAATGAGTCATCCTTTTGGATAGCACCAAGTTTATCACTTTTCGTACATTCTTCGATTGGAAGGTCCTCGAAGATTTTTGCTCCCGTTGCTTTGAATTGCTTGGTTAGTAAATCTTCTTTAGCGATTTGAAATCCTTGACCAAGTGCTCCTCTTGAGGTTACAGAAGGTTCTGCTTTTATTTCAATTTTCTCTGGTTTCTCATCAGGGTCAAATTGTGGCTGGTGGTGGGGGTCGTTTTCTATTGGGCCACATTTCACTACTACTCGGAAAATGAGTAGTAAAAAGGTAGTTGTAGTCTTCAAATTTGGACTCATAGTTGTTCCTAGAAGAAACTAGAATCAAAGAGAATTATTTTCATACGACATACCGAAACCGCAATGACACTAAAATATTAGCTTAATTGGACATATGTTGATGTTATGAACTAAAGGATGTTTAAAGTGATTATAGTGTAAAAATGGATTTAAAATACACTCTTAGAAAAGCGCTATTAAAAATATTTTTAGGATGTGAATAGCGGCTTATTGTAC